TATGTTATATTTTTAGTTGGCTTTAGTCCACTAAAACTTAAGAAGGTTTAAGTCTAGTTTTAAAATGTTTAAAATGATTCTTTACCAGACTGACAGTTCTTGCCTCTATACTGCAATTACTACAATTACATCATTGCTGCTGAGCAGAAAACTTTATAGAGTTCAAATAAACCTTTTTTATGAATTAATGCCCTACTTTAAACAAACGTGTGTCACAAAAGTTGGGAAAATAGCAGATCTATTTCAACACATCATATTGGTTAAAATATATCAAACAGACAAGCTAACAAGGCACAATAAAGGAATGGTTTTAGACATACAAGGTTTCCATCCCAAAGCAAACTTCCTGATCTGCTATGAATTATGCATTAAACACAGACCAATAAAATCTTCATTGCTCCAAAAAAGCAAAGAGAAAAAAAAAAACATTCATCTTTCTACTTTGGCAATTTTGGCTTTATTTCTTCAATTTGTCCCTTGGTTACCACTGCTCAGGGGTCAAAGTAAATATTAATTCACAGGGTTTTGATATAATATTTTATATAAAAAGGCATACAGAGAGAACATACATAATTGCATAGAGAACTTAGCATGGTGTCCAAATACTTATTTTTATATGAAAAATATTAAAAAAAAACGAAAAATACCAAAATATATGATAACAGGGTGAATTAAATGATGGATGTCAGAAAAATAAATGACTTATATATACATTTCTTTTAAAAGGTTTATAATTAAGGTTAATTATAAACCCGTTATAAATATGTCACATTTAATCAAAACATATCTATAATGGTTTATGATTTCATAGTTAATGTCAAATTGTGATTACAAAGACATCTTAAACACTTTTCTCAAAAAGTGTGATCATTTACCAAATGACATTGAATGACAGCAGTCATAAGCTTCATAAAAACTCCTTCATGCCAATGAAAGGTGTTTTTCATGTTTATGACGGTGTAATGTCAGTCTTATGCTCACCCCTTATAAAGTATTACTAATGTTTCGACTCAAGTCCTGGCAATCTCCCTAATTTCACTAAAACTCAGTAAACAGCATTTCCCTAATTTGTGCTTATTTCATGTCTTTGTTTCTATGTTTTTCTCAGTTAATGAAAACTGAGCTGCAAAGGCCCAAAATATGTGAGATTTGATAAATATTTACAATAATTTTGTAGATTTTCTCTTACATAGAAGTATTTAACCTACTATTGCACTGCAACTTTTTGTCTAATTTTGTTCCTGGTTTCTGGCCAGGAATAGTCTGGGTCAGTCTGTTTTCAGTCATATGTCAATGTGAGAGGAGGTGACTGGAGGCAGCAAGTATTTAAGGGGAACCGATCCAATCTCACACTCATTCAAACAACAAGTTTAATTTTTTTTTTTTTTGTAAGCATACTCTAGATGCAGTCTGGTAGTATAAACTGATCACCTGCAAATATGTTTTACTGATAGCAATGAAAAATAGAAGCTCTGATTTGAGATCAGCAATATTTTTTTTTCTTTTTCCTGAAAACTTAAATAACAAACAGCTATAATGAAATAAACAGAACATTTTAAAAGTTGAAATTAAGGTAAAATGTGTTTAAACGGATGCCTGTTAGTAACAACAGGGGCTCAGTTTGGATCCTAATATGCAAAATTGTCACTCTTAGTTATTTTTTTTAATTAAAATAACTTTATTTAAATTGCAATTTTGTTTTCATTTAGAATCTAAAATAATATTGTTGTCCATTCACATATAGATAATTATATATTTAATAAAAATTCTAGAAAGATTTTCAAATGAAATAAAATGTTTCTGCTACTCTTCCACCTTTCAGGGAATACTGCTGGTAATAGTATAAAAAATCATAGTGGGTTGAGAAAATGTAATGTTTAATTTCATGAGAAACATTAAAACAAAGTAAACTTTAAGGAAAGGATGATGTAAATATCCCAGTCTCTTTAAATGATGTCTGATTATGTTTTGTTTCAGATGTGGAGGCTTCAGGAGAAAAACAAGTCATTGATAGAAAAGTTGGAGACTCAGTGGAGCTTTCATCAAATTTACCAACTGAAGGAGTCAGCAGTGCAAGATGGAGATATGGAAACTCAGTAGTTGCATATCATGATACAGGTGTTACTGCAAACAATCTATTTCAGGGCAGAGTGGAGTTCAATAATGTGAGCTTTAGTTTAACAGTGAGAGAACTGACCCTTCAAGATTCTGGAGATTTCCAGTTCATCTCAGAGGCCAATGGCCAACAAAGACCTACAGTCACCATCACTCTGCAGGTTCATGGTAAGAATGGTTCTGAGCTAAGCAAGCAAAACAACTTGTAGGGATAAAAACAAGTGTAGAGTTTTTCAAATAGCTTTAGTAATATGGCATTTCTTTATTACTAATAAAATGTAATAATTGTAATTAATGAAAAAAATCAACTCAAGAAAAACACTTTAGCTTTATTTTTAACATCTCAAGTTTGCCCCTTTAAAATTGTTATTTTTTTATTATTTATTTTTCAAAATCAAGCAAACAAAACCAGTGAAAAAAATGTAGGGAATATTTATGTGAAGAAGGTAATTTTCCATATTGTTAGATTATGAATGAACTGTTATTAACAATATTCTTTG